TTGTAGTCGTCACGTGTGGGGGGGGGGGGTGTGGGGCTTGTTAGCTCCTGTGTGATAGCAATAAAATTAAGTGAAGAAAAATGAATAAAGAATTATAAAATAAATAAAAATTAAGTAAAAAAGGACAATAAAAAGGTGATACAAAATAATAAGATTAAAACATTATTAAAAAAAATTTAAAGATGATAAGATAAATAAAAATGTAAGAAAAAAAGTTAAAAAAAATTTCAACTAAGCCTGCCGCCCCCGTCATCTGGTTGCCATTCTCCGTGGGGGGGGGGTGTTGGCAGTGAGGGGGGTGCATAGAGGAACCTGGCCATGGGGTAGCAGAGAGAGTAAATCCGGCCCTGAACCTAGCACTAGTGGTTGCGGCCTTGGGAAGAGCTGCAGGTGTTAATTCTCTTCTCTCCCGTCATCTCGCAGTAACAGGAAATTGTTTGTTGATTGGCGTACGTGCTGTAAACAGGAGTCTGACTGGTTTCTACAAGGGAAGGGACACGTTCCATTTCTCCACTTTAGCCATGGCGCACTCCGACCTGAGATGGTTACTCTGCTGCCCCCTCTGCCTGGGAGACTTTGCCGATCCCGTAACCCTAAACTGCGGCCACAATTTTTGCCGGGTCTGTATAAAGAAGGCTCTGGAATCGCAGACCTCTTTCCACACCTGTCCTCAGTGCGGACAAGGACAAGGCAAACGGCCTCAGCTTATAAGGAACAAGCAACTAAGCGACCTCGCCCAACATCTCCGCTCTACGGAGGCGACGCAGAAATCGTCCGCGGTCTACTGCGTCTCTTGCACCGACTCCCTGGTCCTTGCTACGAAGACCTGTCTCCTTTGTGCCGTCTCCCTGTGTCCTAATCACCTCAGGCTCCACAGTAAGTCAACAGATCATGTCCTTGTTGATGTTAATCATTTCCTGCTGCAACAAAGATGCCCCATGCACAACCAGACCCTGGACGGATACTGCTGGGACCATAGAGCTTGCATCTGCGAAGACTGCTCATCTGAGATCAAGCACCACGGGCATCAGGTACTAACGATGGACTACGCCTTCGATCTAAAAAAGAAGAGACTGAGACATAAGATGGAGACGCTGACCGCAAAGTGGGAGAAGACACGGGCTCAAATATGCCGGTTGGAAAAGGCGAAGTTCGAGCTGACGCGGAAGATGGCCCGCGTCAACGCCATGCTGAACACCGCCGACGCGTTTGCCGTGCTGTCGGAGAAAGAGTCGGACGGCTTCTTCTTCTGTGATGCGCAGGAGGAGAAGAGGCGGAAAATCAAAATGATTGCAGTAGCTGTTGTGGTTTTAGTTTTAGCATGGCTCATTTCAGTAGTTGCAGGGGTTATGTATTCCAGTGGAAAAGGGCCGAGGTACTGATCAGATCCTGGCCACCGTGGCGACTAGCATGCCCAGGCCCTTGGCTCACAGGTAGCAAGAACTTCTTCTGGGATGTGGAGAGGTGACACATGAAGCCGTGGTGGTGAACCAGGAAGATGGATCGCTTGATCAGCTACTTCCTGTCTGGCCATGCAGTGTGGATAACGAGCATAAATAACAAGACTGGCTATACAGAATTACAGACTCTGCTACTTTCCCCGTTCAGGGTCTTCTAAGAAACATTTCTACCCAATGGTACTGTGCGAGCTCTGTGTTGGATGGTGTTGGAGCTCCTTCTGGGTTGTTTCCTCCTCGTCAGGTGACAGTGTTCAGATGTGGAAATTTTCTGCTCGTTTAATAGAAACTAGGGATGCACCGATATCACTTTTTTAAGACCGAGACCGAGTACCGATACTTTTGATCAAGTACTCGCCGTTACCAATTACTGATACTTTTTCTTAAAGGACCAGGTCCTTTAAGAAAATAGCAATACAAGCTAATGATTTTAGGTCAGTTTCTTAATATTATGATTCATGAGATGACGAGGGAGCATGACGCCGGCTTCCCGGCCAAACAGAATGCCGGGCGCTGCGTCATTACACGGCACCCGGCTTTCTGATTGGCTAGCTTTCTGACCAATCGGGAAGCCGGGCAGCGCGTCATTGCATGCTACCCAGCTTCCTGATTTGCCGGGAAGTCGGCTCCATGCTCTCTCATCACAAGTGACGAGAGAACATGGAGCAGTTTCCTGGCCAATCAGGAAACCGGGCAGCGTGTAATGATGCGCTGCCCGGCTTCCTGATTTAGGAATACTCGAGAAGTACTCGTGCTAGGTATCGGAGCATTTGGGCGAGTACGAGTACTCACCCAAATACTCGGCACCGATACTAGTATCGGTATCGGTGCATCCCTAATAGAAACCAAAGTTTTTGTGGGCAAAGCGGAGTAATGATATGCCGCCCGGCTTCCTGATTGCCCGGGAAGCCGGCTCCATGTTGTTTGGTCAGCTTGCTTGTGATTGACCTGGAAACCGGCTTCCCAGCCATTCAGGAAGCCAGGCGGCGAGTAATGACCCGCCTCCTGATTGGCCAGGAAGCCAGCTCCTTGCTGATTGACTGAAAAGCCAGCTTTCCAGCCAATCCGCATTGAGCCAGCTTCCCAACCAATCCGCATTGAGCCAGCTCCCCAACCAATCAGCATGGAGCCAGCTGTTCAGCCGGCTTCCTGGCTAATCAGGAAGCCGGTGGTCGGCTCATTACGCACCGCTCAGCTTCCTGATTGCACAGGAAGCCGGCTCCATGTTCCCTTACGGCAGTGGAAGATCCAGTATCGGGGAAGATATCTGAGCATTTAGGCGAATACGAGTACTCGCCCAAATACTCGGTACCGATACTGGTATCGGTGCATCCCTAATACAGACACACACCTACATGTATATTTTGGGTATGTAGGGAACTGTTCTTTTATACACCTTCTGTGGTTTTGTTTACATTAATGTTTAGACACTACCATAGAGTTCTGTCACAAACAGCTTCTTCCTTTTTGGTTTGGATGTGCTTCCTGTCCCTGCTAAAAGGTTAGGAAATCCCACAGTAAGATATATATGGGCTTTTCATGAGGTAATATGCAGTGTGTACCCTCATGCCATGTGTTGTGGATGTAGTAGCATTGAGCTATTTGCATGCTGCAAGATAATTGTGATTTCTCAGATGTTTGAGAGTCAAATTCTCCTGACTAGGTCTTATCAGGTGAATCTTCTGTTGTTGCAGTGAACACTTGCAGCTTTACTATTTAAAGGAACAGTGCCCTTTTTTGGTTTGGAATTCCTTAGCTAGTGTTAGCGTAGGAAACAGTAAACATTATAGGGTAGAGGTAGGTTAGGCATCCGACGGCCGCTTAGACAGTTAGAGGCCCGGTTGCATTGATAGCCTAGAATTAGAACAGGGACCAAGAGATAGAATAGACAGGTCTGTTTTACTTTATAGGTGACGCATTCCAGATGGTCTCCTCAAGAAGTGCCTTCATCTGCTGCCGCTCCAGCATTGCGTCTTCTCAAGCCGGATTGGACTCTGCCTTAAATATAATCTCACCAGGGGCCCCTGCAACTGGACTTTGCTGCGATCCATAATTGGAGGTATCCGTGCAAAGTGACTGCCCAGATAGCAAGCAATTGTGCTGCAAGTTTGATAATGACTCGCTAAACTATTGCAGACTTGCCGAGCTTCACAATTTTGTTGCACAATTACAGCAAGTCTGCATTAAGGCACTGCCAAATTTATTGTCAAAACCCATTCTTCCAGTTAGCGAAGGCTCTGGCTCACATACAGGTGAAACTCGAATAATTAGAATATCGTGCAAAAGTTCATTTATTTCACTAATCACAATCTCAGAAAATGAGGAAACTGTGGAAACTTCACACTGGACTTCAAGCATCTTGCGGGAAGAATGGAGAGGCACACACTGCAAGGACCCGGAGTATGGAGGAAGAATGGAGAGGCCCACACTGCAAGGACCCGGAGTATGGAGGAGGAATGGAGAGGGCCAAACGCAAGGACCCGGAGTATGGAGGAAGAATGGAGA